TCTCTGCCCTGTTCAAGTAGAGAACGCAGGCACGCCCTCTCCACCTCTGGGATATGGTGTATAGATATCTTGTCGCTAAGCGGCAAGTAGCCTCTGTGAAGCTGACAGTTTAATAGACTCAAATTTCTTTGGATTCTGAGAGCAAAACCTTCTGATTAGGTTGGAAAAAAGTCCTGCGACACTTTTATAAAATTGTTTTTGAAGAGAACCAAAGCACATTTCGACTGTTCTCACCCCTGATTTGTGGAGAGTGTTCCCTGAGGTTTTTGCATACCGGTATATCACGACTTTGTGGAAGCTTTCGAAGCCTGAATGTCCTCCAAAGGTCAAGGTACTTTTCGACCTATCCCAAACCGTGAGAACCTGTAGGGCCATTCCGCCGTAGTCGAATAAGCTAACACCTGCGTTGTATTCATAAAGAATGTCACTTTTCATGCCACAGTGTCCCGTTTGTATCAGCGCTTGAGAGGTGGAGTTATTCAAAGACAGCTCCGCCCGCCCAGTAAGACCGCCCACTTGCTAGATGCCCTCTGACGGAGGGCCGCTCAGTTGTTCTTTGTTGGGGCGGCGGGCATTAATCGGAAGTGCATGTCCTTTTTGCTGACCGCGCTCGTGCCCAATTCTGCTCTCCTTTATTACATTTTATTCATTAGGAGCACATACAGTCAACTGCAACCCATCTGCAAGTAAAACGCGTAAAAATCACGAGTGATGCAATTTTCGTGGTGCAAAAGCTCGAGACGCACTAAAAGATGCACGCTACCGTAATAAGTTCGGACGCCGATTTTTGAAGTTTTTTTTTCAAGAGTTTTTCGTGTTCTCTTATTTGCATTGTATGGTACATTCTACTGGGAGATGCGAAAAAGCGATTTGTTAGCCAGGGGTTGCATAGAGACCGCAGGGCGGTGTGACTGTCAGGGAGCAATTTTGTTTGTGGTGTTCTTGAGGACTCTTCTTGCTTTTTTTCTTCTTTGGGGATTACTTATCAGCTACTGTTTCATAATTGAAAGCAACTATCCATGACAATTTATAGCGGGGACTGTCTTTTTTTCAAAGGCGCGCAACGTGCAGGTCGGCCACCACACAACACAGAATGACGGCCCTTTACTCAAGCTTCTTGAGGCGCAGCCGAACGTAACCACCAGTAAGTTGGCAACCTCTCTAGGCTCCACCTAACTGACAACTGCCATGCTTCTCCGCAATCTCGGTTGTAGGGAAAATTTTTTGTGAAGGATGCCTCATGAGTTGGACCCGTCTGACAAAGCGCACCGAATGGTCCGTGACTGAGTTTTCTTTTCCTTGTACACGACTGAGGGAATATTGTGAGATCTTGTGGTTGGTAGTTGGAATCCTTGCTTGAACTATGCACACATCTCTCACAGGATCTCACGGGAAGGTCGATCGTTCAGCCAAAGGAAGATGTGTCTGGGCTAAAGATTTTACTGTGTTATTGGTGGGACTATAAAGCGATGTCGCTGGGTACTAGTACAGCAATAACGGCCACAGTCCACTCCAATCAACTTCAAACATGGATGACGTCACGCTTGAATTCATTCAGAAACACTCAATTTTTCTCTACTACTCGGCAATGCGAAGACCGCATGTAAGGATCAGGCTACGCCAAAAGATCGTGGATCTCGATCAGAGGAATGCGACCGTACCCAGCTTATTTACCAAAGTTAGCAGCCCCTAACTACTACCCCTTTGAACCCTACCGCATTCTTTAGGAAGCAAAATTTCCGAAAATCGACGTCTACTCGAAAATGAGGTTCACCTCTTCTTTTTATCGTAGTTGCCGTAGTTCTATAAGAGTGGAAATGAGAAGCTGTGCAAAAGGTGGGCACTAGTCCTAGTCATTAATGGTGATTACCTTGTAGATTGGAGATGTCTTTTAGTGAAGGAAAATTTGGTCCGAAAATTCGGTCAAAGTATAGCGCGACTTTCTTCCCAAAACCTAATATTCTCGTGACCAGTTTTGCTCTTAATGGTAATTGCAGCACTGTGACGAGCCTTCCGCCGCGGACGAATGCTTCGAAGACCACTCGTTCTTTCTTCGACTCAGAAAGCGATGACGAAAACGGTAAGGTGATCTAACCACTAAGGTAGTTTTGGGAGGGGGTATTAAGTAGTTCAACTAGGTCGCACCCAGTCTCTGCTCGTCTGCGATTCATGAGGGTCGACCAAACCTAGTGAGGCTAGCTCATGCAAATGCAGACGAGCGGAACGTGGGCGACTGCATCAGCGTCACCAGCGCTTGTTAATAGGCGTTTTTGGATAGTGTTTTTTTTGTTTTAGGAGCAGGCGACAATAGCAAATCTGTGGTTCAAAGTAGTTCAGCGTCTACTGCCGCGACCAAAGGAAAATCATCTGCTCGTGAGGATTCACGTCCCGGAATAGCTAAAAGCCAAGCGACTAGTCAAGCAGCTCCCGCACAGAAGCTTCCGACCACGAAGTCGCAATTTGCGAAAGGACTATTTGATGATGATGAGGATGACGACGATTTATCATTGTTTAGAAAGCCTAAAGGAAGCTAATGTTGTTAATAATACTTGTCGCTGTTATGTAGGCAGAGCACACCATAGCGTTGTGGGAATTTTCGCAAAATACCCCCCCCCCTCCGTCCCTAACCTACATTTTTCGTACTACCCCTTGGTCATTCCACCTGCTACCTTTCCTGAATTTTGCTGATAAGGTGGTAGGAGGGGAGGTAGACGAATTCCGCCAACTATCAGATCTAGTTCAATTCGTTAGTATTGCTGTGCCGAGGTTTTCAGGTGGAATCTTTTATTTGGCGATCTAACGTTTCGACAGGGTCGTCTTCTTCAGAGGCCTAAACGTGTTTCGAGTTAAGGAGATGAACACTACCACGTCAAGCGTCCAGCAATACTAACGTATTGAACAACGATGCCGAGGTTACAGCAAAAGAGAGGCTGTAGAATATCAGAAATAGTGATTCCGGCGTCGTAAGATGTACCCAAGAAAGAAGGGTACAGTGGAGTTCTCATGCGACGGTGGGGCAGTCCTATGACCACGCTGGCGAGCGTTCCGACAGTTGCGTACCGATAGGGCAGAGGCCTGCGGTGTTTACCGTCATTGCCTCTGCGCTGCCTTACGTTGACTCTGCGACTGAACTCACGCCGCCGCACTCCCTACTCACTCTTCCGTCTGGACTCTCGCCGATCGATAATTGCTGACGCTCCCAGTCAGCTGATTTCTGCGGTATTTTTGCTATATTTCTGCTATATTCAGCTTGTAAAAGCTGAAATTATTCTTTTTTCGACTTCAATTGGAAAGGTGAGTATGTCTGCTGGAACTTGATTACATTTTGCATGATTTGGGCATGAATTTCTCTTAGAAAACTGGTTTTTTTTGCATTTTTTGATTCTCGTTGCTAAAGGGATAATGGTGTTGGTCCTGCGACGACTTCGACGGTCATCACAGCGGACAACTCGTTCGTCGATTTTTCTCTGGTGTAGGTCTAGGCGAGAATCGTTTTACTTCGATGTTGTTGACAAAAATGCAATATGAAATCTGCCTTCAGTTCAACATACCTACATTTTTGTTGAAGCCTGGTCAAAAATAATTTCAGCTTCTAAAAGCTGAAAACAACATAAATCAGTTGAATGGGCATATCAGCCACTATCGGTCGTGACGGGAGTCGGACCGCTTGCCACGTGGACGTTGGACCGCCCCACCGTCGGATGAGAACTCGACTTCCGTTATCCGATCCCCTATCGGTTCTTCAATTTCCAACCTCTACTGCTTCTTTTTTGCGGTGATGTCTTTCAGAGATGTCCTCCCTGAATGGAGTTTTCTGAAAATAACGGTCGGTTTTAACTTACAGAGTCCCGTTTAGTGTTCGTGCGCGCGGCGATCGCGATGTCGCGCGGACTTTCCCAATGGCGTGCTTATCTGCCAAACTTTAGGGTGGTCCATCGTATAGCAAATTTGTTCACCTTGTGCTCAGGGTTTATATGAATAGAAGTGAACAATGTACATGTACATATATAGTAATGGATTTTATTGTTTTTTTCAAGACTAGAGGTATAGCTGAATTGTACATTATTTGAAAAGAGCATATCGCAGCATAAATATATCGGTCGTAGCCACATGCTGCCGAACAGAAGTTGGCGCGTTAGTGCTGTGCAGTAACAAGCTTTGAAGGTAATTCGTTGCGTTAAAACATGTGCATTGGCACGTGATCTCCAACGCGTTGGGATATGTCGCAGGACGCGTCATCACACTTTAAAGGAACGGTACGCAATTCCCTGCGACAATTTAACAGTTCTATGGGGAGGGTGGTCCGCAAAGGGCAGCATGTGCCAGTTTGCGGTGGAATGTTGTAAGATAGGGGAGTTACGGAGCGAAGTTGCTGCAGTGACACTATCCAGTAACTCTCCCTCCAAACTCTACCTTCTAATCTGCCTTCCTACTAATAGCGGTGCTATCGGACAAGTAGCATGAGGTGGATGCTCAATAGTTTCTTAGGATTATAGGGTTCTTACAAAGAAATGACCGAATGGAGTCGAGCTCAATACTTGCTCTTTCGGCCTTCTACGAATTTTCAAGGGTGTGAGGAGTCCTATTGAAGGCGTTTCCGACCTTTCATTTGGCATTTTCTCTTCACAGGCAAGTCATTTGGCAGTATCTCTTCCATATTTCGATAGCAGTACCAACGCTCCGTATCGTGGACGGTCCCTTTACCACGTTACGGACCCCGTGACACACTGGTGTGTCATACTTTTTTCTCTCTGCGCCATTTCATACGATCTATTTGGCATCTTATTCATGCTCCGAAGTTATCAGAACACGTTTTTAGGCACAGAATACAAATATCTCATAGAAAAGTGAAAGAAACAGTTGAAATTGCTGATCATCGGTCTGAAAGATGACGAAATTATGCGGGATCCTCGCACAACGGCGGTCCAGAATGTGTTAAAGGCATATTCCGGCATAATTTGGTACTCGGTTTAAAATACTGGCAGGGTGCTGCAT